AGTGAAGAAGTAGACCTTTACAAATGGAATCAGATCTTCAATAAAGGAGCAAAAGCAATTCATTGGAAAGAGGAGAATGTCTTTAACAAATAATGCTGGAGTAACCACATCTACATGCAAAAAACAAATTTAGGCACAGACCTTGTATATACCACCTTGCACAAAGAACAATTCAAAATAAACCACAGACCTTAATATAAAGCATAAAACTCCCACAGGACAACATGGAAAAATCCAGGTGGCCTTGGATTGCTGGTGACTATTGTTTTCAATGCAGTGTTGTGTACAGGTACTCTATAACCTCAGGGCTGGTGATGGCCTTTTAGATATGACACCAAAAACATAAGCCATGAAAGAAAGAATTGATACTTTGGACTCTTTTAGTGGTACTGGAAATTGAACTCAGGGACTTTGCACTGAGCTAATACTCAGCTCTTCCTTAATTTTTGTTTTGAGACAAAAATCTCACTAAAGCACTAAATTACTCAGCCTGAGCTCAAACTTTTGGTCCTCTTGCCTTAGGCTCCCAGAGTGCTGGGATTCCAGGCATGTGCCAACATACCTGACTGATAAATTGGTTTCTGTGAAAATGAAGGGTCTCTTATGAAAACACATAATCATGAGAATAAAAAGACAAGACACAGACTAGGAGAAAATCCTTGCAAACTACTAATAAAGGACTAGTATCCCATACATACAAAGAACTCTTAAAACTCAATAGTAATGAACACCTGACAATACAGGATAAAAACAAGCTTAGTCTCTCTTACACTGTCCCTCAACACAGCAGACTTCTATAACCAAATGTGTGGTGTTTTCCTTGCTGATACATGAAACAGTCAATTCTGCAGAGAGTACCTTCATCTCCTCTGGTACAATTGAGTCCTTATACTATCTCCATGGAGAAAGGGCCAGATGCCACCAACATAGGGCTCAGTCTCTATGACTGAGTCCTGCCCTGCACTTGCCTTCTACACTAACCACAAGCCTTAGTAAATCAGTATTTCTATAGCCCTTTTGGCTTTAATTAATTTTCTTGAGAAGTTCACAGAACTCAGGGAAATACATCTATTGGTTTATTATAGGAACACTACAAAGACAGAAAACAGCCAGATGGAAGAGATACATAAGGTTAGGCATGTGGGAAGAGGTGTGCAGCTTCCATGCCCTCTCTGCATAAGGCACCTTCTGGAAACTCCACATGTTCATCTGAGCAGGAGCTCCTCCTTTTTTGAATGTTTATGAAGCTTCATTTACATAGGTGTGATTAATTAAACTACTGCCCATTGTTGATTGCCTCAAACTCCAGCAACTATTCTTGTCCTGGAGGCCAGTCCTTTAAACATCTTTTGGTCTTTCTGGTAACCTGTCACCCTTCTTGAAGTTATCAAGACCTGCCAACCACAAGTCATCCCGTTGGCAATTAAAGGACATCAATTTGAAGATTCCAAGAATTTTAGGAGTTGTATGGAATGAAAGCTAAATATTTTTTTTACCATCTCTCAAAAACCAGTGAATGCATAGACAAGCAACCTGAATAGAAACCTTACTAAAGAAGGTATACAGTGGCAAATTAAGTATACAAGTATATTGAGCATTATGTGCCATTGAGAAATTACAAATAAAAGCAACAGTGAGTTATAACTTCATACCCAGTGAATGATTAAAACACAAAATACTGACAACATAAAATGCTGGTGGGAATACGAAGCAACAGGAATTACTTTGGGAATAAAAAGTGGTGAGGGTATTCCAGGCATTAATTGCTGGTGCAAATATAAAATAGCAAAAATAAATAAATAATAAAAAAAGAAAAATAATATATCATGGCCAAGGTATCTTACAAAAGACACTTTGGTAGGTTCTTACAAAATGGAACATAACCTTACCATATGATCCAGCAATTACATTCCTTGATATTTACCCAAGTGAGTTGAAAACTACATGCATACAGAAGAGTGGTGCTATGGTTTAGATGTGAACTGGTCCTCAAAAGCCTATGTATTAAAGGCTTGGGTTCTATGCTTGGTGCTATTGGAAGGGGGTGGGACATTTAAAATGTGAGTGTAGTGGAATGAAGTATGTCCTT